CCATTCTTGCGCCCTAGCTGTTGTGTTCTCCTTTGTCGATTCGAACCAGGTGTTGTTGGACGGCGAACATCAGAGCGGCTTAAAGCGAGATTAAAACAAAATAATCCAAGAAAAGCAGTTAAGGCGACTTGGTAGTCAGCATAGAACATTGTACGCGTTAATTGTCCCAATGTCAATTAAACATATCTCCTTAAATAAAATAAGTAGGCACATCGTATAACAACGAATCGATGGGGGTGCATACGATACTGTCATGCATAATTGAACGCCGACCATAGACCAATCCCGCAGCAGAGCAGAAGAGGATTATAAGCAAGGCAGATGAGAGGGAACGATAAACGGACGACATACGTCTAAGCAGAACTTACGACAGTCTGGTTGGGAGCCAGGAAAAAGCGATCAGGCTTGACGGTGAGACGAGACGCCTGCAAGTCAGTGGTGGCGGCGCCAGCGTTGCTAGCTGTCTTCTCCGTCCAGGGAGAGTAACGGACCAGCACCCAGGCGGTGCGCTGACCCCAGTTGTTCACAACCACGCGCGTAACCCAGGCCGGCTCTGTGGCAATGACTGAAGAACCAGCGGACAATCTGCGGTCCTGCCCTTGAGGCGAGGGAAGATCCATTCGCGGTGGATGACAGGGAAAGGCCACTGACCAGAAGGTGTTTTCGTCCACCCGCTTGCAGCAGTATATGTCGATTTTACTCGACTCTGCATAGCCAATGAGACGCACCTTGGGGAAGGCGGGAGGAGAAAATAAAAGTTAGGTTAAGAAAACTAAGACTACTCCTACTCCTTTGAAAAAATAGCTTGTAAATTTTCTTTGGAAAAGTGTGCCAGTTTTTAAGCCTGCTTAACCTGCCTGCGGGAGGATATGGGGTTTGGTAAGTTACATCTGTTTTTATCGTAAAGATTTGTCTGATAATCTAGGTGGTGGATGGTGTCTCGAGTGACCGGAAATGGGCAGTAGCGTGATCGCCCATAGTGTAAAGCTCCGGCCGGCACCCAATTTAGGCAGAAATAGCAACCTATCAGCTACGCCTAATGTAAGGATTGGATCGGTAAAGACGGATGAAGCTCAGGCAGCAACTGGATAAGAGTATGTTATTTAGCGTGTGTATGTTAAATATGCTTAAATAACTACTATATGTGTTTTAGTAGGCGTATTTTTGCTTACTTATTTTATTTCGATCGCATTGCCCCCATATCTCGATTCACCGCGTTGCATCCTATTGCTGACCTCGGCTAAAGAACCTAATCTGTTCCGGCACCGAGTTAGTCGTATGAACTACTGGTCTTGCAAAAATTAGTAAATCAGTGAACTGCAATGAACCCATTAAATAGAAACGCAATCCACTCTGCTACTTAACGCAAAGGGCTAGAACAATTCGCTAGACAAACAGTATTGAAGAGGAGCTTAAGAAAATCCAGGACCTGCTTCATGGGGACAGGTAT